ATAGGGGTGGCACCGGTGCTGGAGAGAGTTCTCGCTCTTAGGGTGGGCGTTTTTGGGGGTGCTGGCGTGGTGTGTTCCGGCGGTGGCCGTGGTGCAGCTGGCGGTCCAGGTGTCGGCGTCGAGCAGTAGCAGCAGCAGCAGTCGCCGCCGGTGTCCGCCCTTTGCCTGCTCGGCCTTCCCTCCCCTGACCGCTCGCTTGCGCCTCCCCCGCCACCTCCTCCTCTTCCTGTCTAAGGCCCTGTGTTCCCTCCACCGAACTCGTCTCCGGCTCGTCTTCCCCCTCGTTCCTCCCTTGTGTCTCCTCCTCTGTCTCCTAACCAGATGCCTTCGTCTCACGTCTGGTCTCGCCGTCCCTCTCGTGCTCGTCCTGTATCTCCTGTTCAGCGTTCTCACCCTATGTTGCTTCGTTCCTACGCGTTTCGTCCTCCCCTCCTGCCTTCGCCTCCTCCGTCGTCGCTCGCTGTCGCGCCTCCCCCTCTCTCTAACTACCTTGGTGCTGCTCGTCCTTTTGTTCCTCGGGTCCTTGCATTCCTCGTTACCGACCCGTCGGTTCTTGTCTCCAGTCGTGACGCTCTTGTCGCTGCTATCGCTGACTTCGCCTCTATCCGCCACCTTGAATACGCCACCGCTCTGGTCTCTGACCGTGTCTGCCCTCTATCCCTTGGGGGTGCGCATGCCCTTGGCAGTGACGTCCTAGAGGATAGGCAGTACGAGCTTGCTTTCCTGTCTGAGGCTGCTCCCCATCTCTGTTCCATGCTGCTAGTCCATGAGGGTGACCCTGACGCCTTTGACATCCCGACCCCTCGCACTTACGCTGAGGCCACCTCGGGACCGTGGGCCTCTCAGTGGATAGCTGCCATGGAGCAGGAGATGTCATATTGGAGATCCACCGGCACCAACGTCGACGCAGTTCCCCCACCTGGGGTGAACGTGGTCGATGGCCGGTGGCTCTTCAAAGTGAAGCGCCCCCCTGGAGAGCCGCCTGTATTCAAGGCACGCTACGTGGCTAGAGGCTTCAGTCAGCGTGAGGGGGTGGACTTCTTTCAGACCTTCGCCCCGACCCCGAAGACGACTACTCTTCGGGCGCTGCTGCACGTAATCGCACAGCATGACTACGAGTTACACTCCCTCGACTTCTCCACAGCGTTTCTCCAGGGCAGTCTACACGAGCAGGTCTACCTGCGCCGTCTACACGGCTTCACCGGTACCATCCCTCCTAGGACGCAGTGGCTTCTCCGGCACCCGGTCTACGGCCTACGTCAGGCGCCCTGTGAGTGGCACGACATGCTGCGTGCTACGCTAGCTGACGTGCAGTTCTTTCCGTCCTCTGCAGACCCCTCGCTCTTCGTTCGTGCTGGCCAGACTCCGTTCTACATCCTTGTCTACGTAGACGACCTGGTCTTCGCTACTGCAGACAGAGACGCACTAGTCTCTGTGAAGGCCGAGCTGCTGAGGAGACACACCTGCGCTGACCTAGGAGAGCTGCGCCGCTACCTTGGTCTGCAGATCTCCAGGGACAGAGCAGCGTGCACCATCACTCTCTCACAGTCACACTTGGTGCGCCAAGTCCTTCAGAGGTTCGGTCTTCAACTCTCCTCCGCACAGCCCACACCTCAGCCAGTAGACCACAGGCTCTCTGCTCCAGTTCCAGAGGAGTCAATAAAGCCCATTGGTCCTTACGCAGAGCTGGTGGGTTGCCTCATGTACCTAATGACTTGCACTCGTCCAGATCTCGCATACCCTCTCAGCATCATGGCTCGCTTTGTGGCCACAGGCAGACACCGACCACAGCACTGGTCGCCCGCTAAGAGAGTTTTGCGTTATCTAGCAAGTACAACGGGCACGGGGTTAGTGCTGGGAGGACGTAGGCCAGTGGTCCTTACTGGGCACACAGACGCATCTTGGGCAGACGACGCTGAGACCCTCAGGTCCTCTCAGGGCTACTGCTTTAGCGTTGGTTCAGGTGCCATCTCATGGAGGTCCACTCGCTCCTCGTCTGTTGCCCAGTCTAGCTGTGAGTCTGAGATCTACGCCGGTGCCATGGCGGCACAGGAGCTCTGCTGGCTGGCCTTCTTGCTCACCGACTTAGGTGAGCGGCCTAGCTCTGCCCCGGTTCTGAACGCTGACAACAGGACCATGATCCTCCTTTGTCAAGAGCCTCGACTTGAGGGCAGAGCGAAGCACATCCAGCTGCGGTACTTCCTCCTGCGCGAGCTACAACAGCGTCGCCAGGCCTGCGTAGTACACTTGGCCTCTGGTGCCAACATAGCTGATATCTTTACTAAAGCGCTTGCGCCTAAGGATCATCAGCGGCACTGTTTGTAGCTTGGTCTAGTTCCTGTAGATTCTCACTTGCTAGGACCTTGATTGTGTACTCCTCTTTATATATACCTTTCAGACTGGCCTTGTGGCTTCTCTTCCAGTGGCCGGACTAGTAGTGCCGCCCTGTTTTGCTCCTGTCTTGTTTATACTCTTGCTGACTGGTTTTCGGACCCCTGTCTCAGAGTTTGGACTAGTAGTGCCACCCTAAGCTGCGTGTTTCTTGCTCAGCACTGTAATAATTTGACAGGTGTTGCAGGGGACTACAGTAAGTGTAGAATCTGCAAACACAGACACTTGGAAAACCTCAAGTGTTAGCCTAGGATCTTTACTGGAATGGTAGACTAGTAAGGCAGCGGAAGTCTTTGTAAGAATGAACCTGAGTATATAATTCAGTTGAAGTCAAGTTTAAAGTCTCAAAGTTGAAATCTCAAGGTTAACAATAGAAAGGCATAACAAGGATTTTATAGCTCTAGGAAAGTACTTGTTCGCTAATGTACCTGTTCGTCACTATCGCACTATTTGCCCTAAATGATAATGAAGAGACGCAACTATTCGCGCGACTGAAACGACTGTCCTCATGACGAGTGCTATTTGCTGACGTCATCCTACGGACTTATATTCTACTGTAGGATTCGACACTATCTACCGATAATCGACTTACAGAAATGCTAAGTATGCATTATATCACAACACTCCCCTTCATTTCTGGAAGTTCGACAGTGTCACTTCTTGAAGATCCCGCAAAGCTTGTTACAGTACTGAAACTTCTGTCGTGTCAGCTTCTTCGTGAGGAAGTCGGCAGCCATTTCGTTGGTCGAACAATAGACCAATCGCATTCTCCCCTTCTCGACTTCATCCTTGACGAAAAAATAACGTAGTGAAATATGTTTCGTCCTGTTCACGAAGCCAGGTTGATGCGCGATGCGAATTGCACTCTGGTTGTCACACTGTAAAGTGATATGAGTACTTGTCGTCAACTTTGCTTCTTCCAAGAGCTCCTGCAGGTAAAGTCCTTCGCGTTTTGCTGTGCAGACAGCGATAAATTCAGCTTCAGCAGAGGAGAGAGCAATCCGCTCCTGCTTCATCGAATTCCAAGAAATAGGGCCGATAGGTTCAAGGCGGTAGATGAATCCAGCACGCGAGCGCCGATTAGTAGTATCAGCAGCGTGGTCGGCGCCGACGAAACGGTGTAGGTATAGAGTTTTACAGCCGACGACGTTGTAGACTAAGCCGACGTCAGGAGTCGAGACGAAATACTGAAGCGCGCGAAGAAGATCGAGTTGGTGTTCTTCTTCAGGACGGCGTAGGAACTGTGCGAGTTGACTAGCCGCGTACGCTAGATCTGGACGACAAGTAACAGCGGTGAAGAGTAGACAGCCTAACTGCTGTTGATCGGTCTGTAGGTCGGTTAGACTCAACGGTGTAGTATTCGGTTTGTAGTCTGTCGGTAGTGATCGGTACGGTGTAGTGACTGTAGAAGGAGTGAGGTTGAAGCGGGCAGCGAGCGTCGCTGCGTACTTCGAAGCGGTGAGGTGAATAGACGTCGGTGAGTAGGTAATATTTAAACCGAGAAACTGTGAGACTGTCTCGGAGACGGTAAGCTGTAGATTTTTCTGTAGTTTCAGTATGAAGGTATTGGCGAGCGAGTCGGTAGTACTGACGTAGAGAATATCGTCGACGTAGGCGACAAGTAAAATATAGTTGCTCCTGTCAGTTAAAAGATACATCCCCTGGTCATGCGGTAGTTGACGGAATCCAGCAGTGAGTAGCTGTGAATGTACTGTAGGTACTGCTCGCATAGCCGGGGTGCCTGTTTAATGCCGTATAGCGAATTTCGGAGACGGCATACGCTCGGTGGGTTAGTAGTATACGAATGTGGGTACTCTACCAGAATGAGTGTGTCGACGGGTGCGTAGAGAAATGCGTTTGCCACGTCGATTTGTCGAAGTCGTAGATTGCGGCAGGCGGCGACACAGAGTAAAATCCGAACGCTCGTATGTCGACCGACGGGAGCAAAAGTTAACTCGTAGTCGATGCCGTAAGTCTGCTCGAACCCGCGGATGACCCATCACGCCTTGAATTTCTCAAACGACCCATCTGCATTAGTCTTGACACGGAAGACCCACTTCCCGGCAAGTACCTTCCTCCCTTTTACTTCTGATGTCGGTACTAACTCCCATGTGCCGCGAGTCTTGAGAGCTGCTAGCTCTCTGTCCATGGCTTTGCGCCATTTTTCGCGGTAAGGACTCGTAAGAGCTTGTCGAACGGTTTTCGGTTAAGATATTTTACTGTCGTTGTACTGTACTGCGACTGCGAATCCAAGTATCTGTAAGCCAGTTTCTGTAAAACGCGGACGTTCTTCGTTTGCACCTGCGAAATTTTCTTCTGACCCTTCTCCCCCCCCCCAATTTCGTTAGGTGTAACACGAACTGCTTCGTCGGAGACGGGTGGCATCGGCTGCTGTTGGCGATCGCGTTCGTAGCTGAGGTGGACTTCGGGAACGTCATCCGGGTCAACATCAGCGAGGGGAATAAATTACGGGATGCCTGTTGACGTGACAGGTTCGGGAATGTCAGTTGCGGTAGCTTCGGAAGCTTCAGAAACCGCCTCGTCCTGTACATCAGCTTCGGCTTCGTCAGTTGCAAATGCACGCGAGCCTTCGAACAGCCTGGCAGGGTTTGCAGCTGCTGCCTGGTGGGCACGAAAAACTGGCAAGGTGAGTCTTTCATAGAAGAGATGATCACGTGAAGGGACAATTTGGTTTGAACGAAGATCCAAAATCTTCCATGCATGATACTATTTTTCGATGCCGAGGTGTACCCCCCATTTTGCCCGTTCGGAAAATTTGCCGAGTGCTGCAGTTGGAGGACGAAACTGCACGACACACCCAAAAACTCGTAAAAGTTTTGTACTTCCCACTGTTCGTGTCCACTGCAGGTGAGGTGAAGAAAACTCGGGCAGTGATGTGGAAGACAGCAGGTTGTGTAACAGCACGGCGTGGTCCATCGCATACGGCCAAAAGCGAGGAGGAAGGGCTGCCTGCGTCAGCAGAGCACGCATCTTCTCCTGCAGAGTCCGATTCATCCTTTCTGCTACCCCCATCTGTTGGTGTGCATGTGGCAGTGACTGCTTCCGTTTGATGCCGAGTGTCTGGAGGTAGTCTGTGAAAGCGTTGCTCGTGTACTCCCCTGCGCCATCACTCTGGAATTCTTGCAGTTTTGCTCAAGACTCTCTTTCAGCGACGGCGAGCCATGCGACGAAGACTGAATGGGCGAGATGTCGAGCAGGAAGGTTTGCTGTCCAAACATATCGAGTAGATGCTTCGATGAAGGTAATCACGTACAGCTCTTCTTTAGGTCCTGCTTCAGGTAAGTTAAGAATATCGCTGTAGACCTTCTGCATCAGTTTGTAACGAGTGGAGCCAGGAAAATGACTCGAAAACGGGTCGTGGGTAAGATTGGTGACCGGACACGTGGTGCAGACCGTTGGGCGAGACTGCGGTTTCATCTCCGTGCCGTCAGGTAAGAGAAGACTGTTTTTATCAAGAACTGCTGCTCGGATTCAATGATTTAAAATCCCTTGCGATGGATGTCCTAACCGTTGGTGCCAAATTTCTTATGTGGCTTTGTGTCCTGATGATCGCAGATAAAAGTCGGCGTTAGTATAAAATGAAGAAATGATGAAAGGAGAAAGAGCTGGAGACATGTCAATCTCCCCTTCGACGAAACGGGTAAGGGGTAACTGAACATTTGAAGTGTCTGCTGTATTTGCGACTGCAATTTCTGATACTGCTTCTTTTGATGTTACAGTTTGATGGCAGATGGTCCTGCGACAGCTACTGGAAGACTCGGCTGCTCGGCGACTTCTTCTTTCACGGCTTCCTCGACGACTTCGGGTTCATCAGCTGCAAGTCCACTGATTTCTCCCCAAAGTGGAGCTGGAGTTCCTTGGAAGGCTGCACGGGTGTTATAGAAGGTTCGCCAAGCATTGGCGCCTTCATCGGCGGTATTAAACTCCCAAGTATCCAGTGCGGTAAGAACGGCAGCTACAGTTCTAGAAGCTGTTGGTACAGTAGTTGCCCGAAAAACAATATCCACGTGTATATAATATGTTTCTTCTGGGTGACCCCAGGGACCGAGACCAAGGACGCGTTCAGAATCACCAGAGGTGCCCTGTGCTGTGAACTGAAGAACTGATACTCCATGTTGAGTAGCAGCGCGACCGAGGTAAGTATTTGATAAACTGTGCCATAACTCCTGATCCATTGTATCACAATTCCCTTGTGTGCGAATCTTGTGTGCCAGGAGTTGAGCTGTGGAGAGAAGATTGAAACCAAGGCTGGCGACGATAGGAACATTGGTAACGTGTAAGGAATATCCCGTGTCGACTGATTCAAGTATTACACTCCCAATAGATCTTGCCATAATGGTTTGTCCGTTTGCAACTGTGACTGTTATCGGACGATGAAGAGGACACTGGTTGGTGATGACGCTTGTTTCAGCGGAGCACATGTGCCAACCGCAACAGCTGTCGAGATACCAAGTATTGGGTCCTGAAATGACTCGAGCAAGGTTAGCGTAAACTTGCGGTAAGGGAATGCCCTCTGCACTGGTGGTTTCTTCAAGTTGTGTCTCGAAATCTGTATCTGAAATATCAACTGTTGTAACACATCCAAAAACCCCTTTTCCTGATGTTGCAGATGCAAAGACCGGAGGACGATGCTGTGATGGCGGTGTACTCTGCGGCATCTGCTGCGTCTGGGACGTCGACTGCTGCATTTGCTGATGTGGCTTCGGTAACTGCTGCGAACGATGATATGGTTGCGAAGTGCTGCGACGGTTTTGACAACGACTGCGACAAGTTTGGTAAGTATGTCCTGGTTTCTTGCAGAAATGGCAGAAGGGATATTTCGGGGGAAGTCGTTGCTGTGGCTCTGGATTTGAGTAAAAACTTAATTGTAATCCTTTCTTCTGATTGCGTTGTGACTGCAGGTCAAGATCTTGCTGTTCCGCTTGAAGATACGACGAAATTTCGGTTTCTGAGAGGTTCGATTCATGCGCAAGAAGGCGCGCGTCTGTCGCCACTCGGGACCAAGTCCAGCAAGAAGGACCATGAGATACATCTCACGAGGGAAGTATCCTCCACTCTTCTCCAGTTGATCTTGTAGTGTGCGAACACGATTGACGTAATCCATGACATTCTCGTTTGTCATCATCTGCACACTTGTCAGCTGCGAAAGAATCTTACTTGCTGTTATTGTGTCTTTTGCCATGTACACCCCCTTTAAGTGGTTCCATGCAGTTTCAGCTGGCGTGAAGCTTGAATGAAAAGATCGAACGCCAAGCTGCTCCTTTGGCGACAGGTTCCGAACTAGAACCGTATACGCCCCGAGAGAGGCGTGCAGGAAACTCTGTTGCTCCAGTTGTGTTCCCATGACAGGATACGTAAACTCGCCGGTGAAGAACGGCCATAGCCCAGCGAACTGCGCCAGAAGCTCAAACTCGAAGCTCCAGGAGTAAAATTCAACTCCGTTAAAAGGTATAGTAGTCTTGATCTGCGTGCTGGTAAGTAGATTTGGCGGTTGAAAAATAATCCCCTGTTGTTGAGGTTGTTGCTGTTGCTGGAATTGCTGTGGATGCTGCAGTTGTTGCTGTTGTTGCTGATGTTGCTGTTGCTGTTGTTGTTGCTGAGCAGGTGATCGCCCGAAGATGTAAAAGGGCTGCTGCTGCTGCGACTGCGGCTGCTGCGTAAACGGCGAGAAGGCAAATGAGCCAGTACTTGGAGCTGAAGCTCCACGCATGTAACTTGAGCCGTCAAGGCTCATTCCACTAAACGCTGACGATATTGACTGTGTTGAAAACTGCTGTGGTGTTGCTTGTTGCTGTGCTGTTGCCTGATGTTGTGCTGTTGCCTGTGTTTGTTGTTGTTGCGCTGTACGTGCAGTCGATGAAACACCTGGAGTACTGACAGAAGGCGGATTCTGCTGCTGCATACTGATGTGCGCATAAGCCAGTGGAAACGGTCCAGAGGCTGAGAGACCAGTGGCGGTCGTGGAGACAGGTACTCCAGTAGTTCCAGAACTGGATCCGGTAGATGGTGCTGGTGATGTCCCAGTCATTGTTGACAGTAGTCTTAAATCCAGATAGCTCTCATACCATGTAATAATTTGACAGGTGTTGCACGAGACTAAGTGTAGAATCTGCAAACACAAACACTTGGAAAACCTCAAGTGTTAGCCTAGGATCTTTACTGGAATGGTAGACAAGTAAGACAGTGGAAGTCTTTGTAAGAATGAACCTGAGTATATAATTCAGTTGAAGTCAAGTTTAAAGTCTCAAAGTTGAAATCTCAAGGTGAACAATAGAAAGGGCATAACAAGGATTTTATAGCTCTAGGAAAGTACCTGTTCGCTAATGTACCTGTTCGCTAATGTACCTGTTCGTCACTATCGCGCTATGCGCCCTAAATGATAATGAAGAGACGCGACTATTCGCGTGACTGAAACGACTGTCCTCATGACGAGCGCTATTTGCTGACGTCATCCCACAGACTTATATTCTACAGTAGGATTCGACACTATCTACCGATAATCGACTTACAGAAATGCTAAGTATGCATTATATCACAACAAACACTACCCCTTATCTAGCCTAGGAGGTGTGTCAACTTATACATATATTTGTATGTAGAAGTTATAGGCTAGATAGGTGTATTCTTAGAGGGTACAACTCCAACCCTATATCTCCCTTGTTCACCCTTGTTTCTAGTCATTCTTGTATTCTAACAGTTTGACCTGTATTGAAATCTAGCCTGACGATTCAGTTTAATTAGAACGGGCGAAAGGAAGGATACTAATGTGCTGTGAATAATGCGGTTTTTTCCTATGCGCCAATTGCGTGTAATAAGCAGGTGCATTTGTTTAGGCGCAACATTGTTTTATGTAAACACGTGCTTATGCAGAGGTTCTTATACATATTTGTGATTGTATGGAAGTTCCGTTTATTAATACGACTTAGTCAAAATGTAATTTACATTATTCAAGATTGTTATACAATCACAATGTGGGCTTTAAACTGCGCAATAACGAGTACAGCGTACTGTAATCACAAACGAATCGTCAGCATACAGCTTGGATTCGCCAATCAATCCTCGAGGAGTGTCCGCGTTCATTCCCCGATGAAACTCCCAGTATGCCGAGGACTGCCCTTGAAGATATTTTTTGTCTTTCTAGGGGATATACTGACGCGTCACCCAAGTGTCAATTTTGTGACTTCCGA